CTCCTCTGCGAAGACCCGCGACCAGCACCACCTCCACCCCCGCCGCCTCCTCCGCCTCCGCCGCCTCCGCTACTGCCGCCGCCTCCACCTCCGCCTCCGCCGCCGCCACCTCCGCCACCCCCGCTCCCACTGCCACCGCCGCCGACACCTCCGCCTCCACTGCCGCCACCGACTCCTCCACCCCCACCTCCACTCCCACCGCCACCCCCACTCCCCCCACTGCCGCCACCTCCACCTCCACCGCCCCCGCTCGCTCCTCCAGCGCCCTTGCCCCCCTTGCCCTTGCCAGAGCGGCGTCTCCCACTAGGGGCAGACGCCACACCGACCGACTCAAGACCAAGGAGGTCGGCCGCAGCAGCAGAGGCAACAGAGGGCAGAAGGGGGGAGGGGGAACACCCCTCAAAGATGGGGGTGCGCGGGTCACCACGAGAGGCCCCTACAGCGACTATGCTCTTCTCGGCCGCTAGGAGGGACTTCTCGAGGAGGTCAACAGTGAGAGTGGTGGGACAGACAGAGAGAAAGTGGTCCCTGACTACGCGAAGGGAGTCAGGAAGGCGAGTGACTATGTAGTAAAGAGTGATGTACATGGGGGGGGGGTTCTTGGCGCAGAAGTCAGCAGGGAGTGCAGCGCGGTAGCGAGTGTCACTAGTGCGGAGGTGCGTAATGAGGTCAGCGACTGTGGGAAAGGCAGCAAGGTCAGGAAAGAGGTACGGTAGCATGAGACGACTCAGTGCAGCAGTGGCAGGGGAGGAGTAGCGCGCAACTACAGCGTCGTACAAGGTCTGAGCACTCTTGTACTGACTAAAGTGTGCACGCTCGGAGGTAGGGAGGTGGCGACGCACAGCAAGACGTGCAGCAGCGTCGCGCGTGGCCCACTGGGAGCGAACAGTGGCGTCGGCGTCAGCAGCAGGGGCAGTGGAGGCGCCAGAGGTGAGGTCAAAGAGAGAGAGACCATCTGCCCTATCGCACTGTAAGAACAGCTGCAGGTCATCCACCCAGACCTCAAAGTCAATGGCCCGACCCTCAGCGTCAAAGACTAGAACACTAGGGGTAGCCATGACCCTAGACGACTGGCAGCGCAAACAGTAGGGTGAGGGCAGTGCAGTGAAAGGGCGCTGTGCTCACCAGACTGGACAGGTCGGGCGGCCCGGAAGGAGGGCGGCGCGGCGGCTCGGCGGCTCGGCTGTCGGGCGGCTCGGCGGCTCGGCGGCTCCGCTGCTGGGCGGCACGGCTGCTGGGCGGCTCGGCTGCTGGGCGGCTCGGCTGTTGAGCGGCTCGGCTGCTGGGCGGCTCGGCTGCTCTGCTGTCGGGCGGCTCGGTTGTGCTGCTGAGGGGCAGCACGGCTCGGGCTGCTCGGGTGGTGCGGGCGGCTCGGGCGGCTCGGGCGGCTCAGCTCCTCAGCGGCACAGGCGGCGTGGGGACCGAGACGGTGGCGCGCGGCTGGGACGGGCGGCGCACGGGCGGCGTGGGGCCGGGACGGGCGGCGCGCGGGCGTCGAGGGGCCGGGACGGGCGGCGCGCGGGCGTCGAGGGGCCGGGACGGGCGGCGCGCGGGCGTCTAGGGGTCGGGCCGGGTGGCGCGCGGGCGTCTAGGGGCCGGGACGGGCGGCGCGTGGGCGTCGAGGGGCCGGGACGGGCGGCGCGCGGGCGTCTAGGGGGCGGGACGGGCGGCGCGCGGGCGTCTAGGGGCCGGGACGGGCGGCGCGCGGGCGTCTAGGGGCCGGGACGGGCGGCTCACGGGCGGCGAGGGGCCGGGACGGGCGGCGCGCGGGCGTCGAGGGGCCGGGACGGGCGGCGCGCAGGCGTCGAGGGGCCGGGACGGGCGGCGCGCGGGCGTCTAGGGGCCGGGACGGGCGGCGCGCGGGCGTCTAGGGGCCGGGACAGGCGGCGCGCGGGCGTCTAGGGGTCGGGACGGGCGGCGCGCGGGCGTCTAGGGGCCGGGACGGGCGGCGCGCGGGCGTCTAGGGGCCGGGACGGGCGGCGCGCGGGCGTCTAGGGGCCGGGCCGGGTGGCGCACGGGCGTCTAGGGGGCCTTGACGGGCGGCGCGCGGGCGTCTAAGGGGCCGGGACGGGCGGCGCGCGGGCGTCTAAGGGCCGTGACGGGCGGCTAAAGGGGCCACTAGGGGCCAAGAGAGAGGGGAGCGCGACTCGGGTAGGGGCAGAGTGCGCTCCGGGCAGGAAAAAAAACGGTGGGCCCTAGGAACAGTTCCCACGAGGGAACCTGCTCGATACCATGAGAAGAATGAAGAACGAGAGTGAATGAACTATGAATGAGGTGAGTACATATGTAAAACCCTAATTGGGTTGTACCCCCTATGGGATACCCCACTATAGCCTACACAACAGCATAAGCTATATAATGTTCTGACAGCGAACAGTTGCGTCAGCATCAGTGGCGGGGGCAGGAGAGGCACCAGAAGTGAGGTCAAAGAGGGAGAGGCCGTCTGCCCTATCGCACTGTAAGAAAAGCTGCAGGTCATCTATCCAGACGTCAAAGTCAATGGCCCGACCCTCAGCGTCAAAAGCGAGGACACTAGGGGTAGCCATGACAGCAGTAGACTAGCAGCGCAAACAGTGGGGTGAGGGCAGTGCTGTGAGAGAGGCGCTGCTCTTACCGGACAGGGCGGCTCGGGCGGCTCGGCTGCAGGGCGGCTCGGCGACTCGGCTGCTGGGCGGCTCGGCTGCTGGGCGGCTCGGCGGCTGGGCGGCTCAGCGGCTCGGCTGCTGGGCGGCTCGGCGGCTCTGCTGCTGGGCGGCTCGGCTGCTGGGCGGCTCGGCGGCTCGGCTGCTGGGCGGCTCGGTGGCTTAGCTGCTGGGCGGCTAGGCTGCTGGGCGGCTCGGCGGGGCCGCTGAGAGGGCGGCGTCCGGGGCCGCTGGGAGGAGGCGGCGGGGCCGCTGAGAGGAGGCGGCGTGGCCGGAAAGGTAGGTGGTGGGGCCGCGTCAGGGGCCGCGACAGGGGCCGCGTCAGGGGCCGCGACAGGGGCCGCGTCAGGGGCCGCGGCAGGGGCCGCGTCAGGGGCCGCGGCAGGGCCGCGTCAGGGCGCCGCGTCAGGGGCCGCGTCAGGGCGCCGCCAGGGGCCGCGGCAGGGCCGCGTCAGGGCCGCGTAAGGGGCCGCGGCAGGGGCCGCGTCAGGGGCCGCGTCAGGGCCGCGTCAGGGCCGCGGCAGAGCCGCGTCAGGGCCGCGTCAGGGGCCGCTTCAGGGCCGCGGCAGGGGCCGCAGCAGGCCGCGTCAGGGCCGCGTCAGGGGCCGCGGCAGGGCCGCGTCAGGGCCGCGGCAGGGGCCGCGTCAGGGCGCCGCGTCAGGGGGGCCGCGTCAGGGCGCCGCCAGGGGCCGCGGCAGGGCCGCGTCAGGGCCGCGTCAGGGCCGCGGCAGAGCCGCGTCAGGGCCGCGTCAGGGGCCGCTTCAGGGCCGCGGCAGGGGCCGCGGCAGGCCGCGTCAGGGCCGCGTCAGGGGCCGCGGCAGGGCCGCGTCAGGGCCGCGGCAGGGGCCGCGTCAGGGCGCCGCCAGGGGCCGCGTCAGGCCGCGTCAGGGCCGCGTCAGGGCGCCACCAGGGGGCGCGTCAGGGGCCGCGATAGGGCGCCGGCAGGGGCCTCGTCAGGGCGTCGCCAGGGGCCGCATAGGGGGCGCGTTAGAGGCGGCGTAGGGGCCGCGTAGGGGCAGCGTAGGGGCCGCTAAAAAAAAAAAAATTTAGGGCAGGGCGCAATGTGCGCGGGCAGCTAAAAAAAAAAATCTTATGGTGGGCCCTTAGGAAGGAACGGTCCCATGTAGGAACCCGCTCTATACCATGTGAATCAAGAAAACAGGAATGAAATGACTAAGTGAAAGTTGGGTACAAAAAGGCAAACCCTAGGCAACTGTACCCCATATGTGCTACCCCACTATAGCCTACAGTAGCTATGTCATATAACTCTGACAACGACCCCCTGTGGCCTGAGTAGTCCGGGGCTCTGCGCCCGGTAGCCACAGTGTGAGCACTCCTGGTAGTCCAGAGAGCCACGACCCCCTGTGGCCTGAGTAGTCCGGGGCTCTGCGCCCGGTAGCTACAGTGTGAGCACTCCTGGGAGCACAGTGAGCCAGCTGCGTCTGTCGCCGTGTAGTCCGGGTTTAGCCTGGTAGCGACAGTGCTGCGCACTCTTGCTGCCCGTGTGTCTGCAGCTTCAGCCGTCACCTCCCATCTTCTCGCCCCCACAGTTTCTCCTCCTCCCCACTTGCCCTCTGTGATAGCCTCTAGCTTTACTTATAATTGTGAACTACTGCTCTGCCTGCTTGTTGTGTTGTTTGTACCCCACTTTGACTATGGGGGTGTGTCAGAATGTGATGTTTGTGTAGCCTGCAGTGGGGTACTCTATAGCGAGTACAGCCCGAACTAGGGTTTGCTATATGTACTCAACTGCATGCTAGTGAAAAGCCCTCTTTCGTGTTTATCGTTTTAGCCTGCTGTTTCGACAAATATTACTTGACACGCCCCCAGGTAGTGTTTGCAGGTAGTATAGCAATGCCCCCTGAAGGGGTACACCAGACGCAACGGAAGAAGGAGAGGGCAAGTGACGAGGAGGAGGGACCATGAGAGGAGAGGAGGTGGTGGGTGACGGCTGAAGCTGCTGGCACACGGACAACTGGCGCAACTGGCACACTGGCAACTGGAGCAACTAGCACACGGGCAATTGGAGTAACTAGCTCCGTGGCTAGATGAGCGGCTGCAGCAACTGACTCACGGGCGACTAGAGCAACGGGCTCACGGGCGACTGGAGCAACGGGCTCACGGGCGACTGGAGCTGCTGGCTTCACGACGGCCACCCCCCTTCAACCTCCCCCATTTTCCCAAAACTCCCTTTCACGCCCCTCGGCATCCCTACCGCCACTCCCTCATCTCCCCCACACCCTCCCCCCTCACAGCGGCATGTGCGGCAATGGGAGAGAGAGGAGGAGGGGCGGCAGCTGATTACTCACACCCGCCTGGCAGTCCCTCATCCAGCCGGCGGCGTCCCTCCGACCCTGGATGACAGGCGCGGGGAACCACGAGGACGAGGCAGATGAAGGCGCGCCGAGCTCGAACCCCTTCAAGGCGTACAACGCGCGCTGGCCCATGCCTGCTGCTGCCAGCGGGTCGTCTTCGAACCTCTTCTACTCGTTTGACAGCGGCAGCATTCACTGGGTGGTGCTCTCCTGCTACTCGGACTATTCCCAGGGATCAGCGCAGTACAACTGGCTGCAGGTATGCTGCTAGTGGGTCGCCCTCTGTGCCTGCCAGCATGCCATGCTACTCCCTCTGTGCTCTTTCTGCTGCCAGCGGGTCGTCGTCAACCCTCCACGACTCATGTGACAGTGGCAGCATCCACTGGTTGACACTCTCGTGCTCTCGTGTTATTTGGACTCCTCCCAGGGATCCGCTCAATGCAATTGGCTGCATGTGTGCTGCTAGTCTCTCTGTGCGAGCCTCCTTGTGACGATAAATATCCTCTCTGGCTGCTCCCAGGAGCCCCCTCAGCAGTACCAATCCAATTGGCTCCAGGTGTGCTGCTGGTTTCTCTGTACTAGAATGTTGGTGTGGTGTACATGTGCCTGCTGCTGCCAGTGGGTCACCGTCGAACCTCTTCTACTCGTTTGACAGTGGCAGATTACACTGGATCGCGCTGTCCTGCGACTCCGACTACACCCAGCGAGGCCATGCGCCTGGCGCTGGAGCAGACGCCGTATTACGCCAGGGCAGAAAATCGACGCGCCCGGGGCGCGCGACGGGCAGAAAACCGACGCGCGACGGGAAGAAAACCGACGCGCGCCCGGGGCGCGCGACGTGCAGCAGAGTGGCGCATTTAGCGGAAGCTAACGGTGGGCCCAAAGGGGAGAAGGCTCTAGGAACGAGCCCGCTCTGAAATCATGTTAAAATTGCCTAGGAGTTAGGTTTAGGAACAGCCTAGGCAAGTATCAAGAGTAGCGAGAGGGAAATTGGAGAAGATGGTTTCATTAAGAGATTAAAGCCCAAGACCTGAATTACAAACCAAAAAACGCAAACTGTGCACAGTTTGCCTTCCGAACCCAAAGTTTACCTCCCGAGCCAGGATGGTTACCAGACAGGAGTCGCAACCTAAAAGGACTGCGTCGTATATCAGTACACGACCATGAGCGTCGTATATCAGTACACGACCATGAGCGAGAGTCCCAACCACCTTGTGCGCAAGGAAGAAGGGAACTGCCTGTGCACAGTTTGCTTGAAAATGGTAATTCAGGACAGGCTGTGCGGCTACTACTCGAGTCTCTAAGCAAAGAGCCCATAGCAGATTCCCTCCTTCAACCCCGTTGCAACGCGAGAGTACTTTTTTCTCGTTCCCTGCTCGAAAGGCTTGAAGCGCCTAGTATGAGTCGTCGCTCCTTTCGGTTACAAACGTAGAACCTCGCCATCCCCTCACATCGTCCTCCCCCTCCACGCACCGTCACCCTCGCTTCCCCCGTGGTCCCCGTCGCCATTGCCCTCCCATCGCCCTCGAGGGCCTATCCCCTCCCATCGCAACGACGTCAACGTCGCCGTGCCACCTGGCGACACTTCGTGAACCACTCCGCCACCACCCACTTCCTACGTGACGCGAGAGTCTCCACCACTCCCCACTATCCTGACACGTTTTCACTCTCGGGAAGCGACGTGCACACGCCCACGTTTCTCCTCCCTGCGCGCGCTCCTTTCTTGTAAGCAAACTGAGTTGCATCCTCTCGCCACCCCGCGCGCGCTCTTCTCTCCTCCCGCGCGGGCTCCTATCGCCTCCCCGCGCGCGCTCCTCTTGCCTCCCCGCGCGGCCTCCTCTCACCATCCCGCGCGTGCGACTTTCGCCTCCCTCGCGTGCTCCCAACGCCTTCATAGCGCGCGAATCTCTTGTCTCCCCGCGCGGCCTCCTCTCACCTCGTCGCGCGTCCTCCTCTCGCCGCTCCACGCATGCTTCTCACCAATGTCCCCGCTCGTGCTCCACTCGCCTCCCTCGCGTGCTCCTCTCGCCCCCCCGCGCGCGCGTCTTTTGCCTCCCCGCGCATCCTCCTCTCGCCTCACATTGCGTGCTCCACTCGCCTCCCCGCATTGCGCTTCTCTCTCCTCACCTTTCGGCGTTAGCGCGCTGCGCCGCGCGTGCGCCTCTCTCCACGCCTTGCGTGCTCCTATCGCCTCCCCGTGCGTGCTCCTCTCCTCACCTTGCTTGCTTCTCTCACCTCCCCGCGCGTGCGCCTCTCTCCTCACCTTGTGTGCTCCTCTCTCCTCACCTTGCGAGCTCCTCTCGCCTCCCCGTGCGTGCGCCTCACTCCTCACCTTGCGTGCTCCTCACGCCTCCCCGCACGTGCGCCTCACTCCTCACCTGTAGTCAAGGCGATGTGGACTGGTTCAACCTGGAATGGAGCATCCCTGACGAGATTGATTTTGGGATGAGGTCAAACGATGCTAGGTCAATTTTCAATGTGGCCACGCAGGAGTCTGGAATTTACTGATTGTTAGCAAGGGAGGGATGGTTATCGGGTACGATTTACTGTGTACATGTGTTCAGGGTTTTTACACAGTCAGCAATAGTTTGACATGTGGATGGATGACCATCCAGCTATGATGGATAGATCAATGAAGAAGCCCTATGTGTGCAGTCAAGTATGTTATTTGATGGGGAAGGACATGTTTCACTTCTCAGCTTCTAGCCATGGGGGAGCGTGTTGCGTCTTTTGCCTACACTACTTGTGAAAAAACGGCATCCTCACGTGCACGGGATTAGTGCGAGGCAAGCACACGCTTAGAGTTGCACGTGAACACGTGTAGGTGCAGTGATGAATGGGGCTGACGGTGACTTGGCTGATGTCCAACGCTGCTTGCCCTTGCCCTTGCGGATCTGAGCACAGAGAGAGGCGGGAGGGTCGAGACAGGTGGAGAGAGGTGGAGACAGGTACTACGGAAACAAGTTTGCAAAAAGTGGTGCCGAGTGCATGTATCAGGCCAGACAGTACACTTGGGAGTGTGTCTCAGTGTAGTGCATGTGGTGCGGACAGAGCAGCCACGGCGAGCGGAACGTGCACTAAGGACAGCATGAGCAATGCAGAGCAGACAGTGCAATGACTCACCTCCCGTGTGAGGTCTTGGCCACTCTCTTCACAGATATGCAGCATGCTCTCCGTTGGCTGACATGCAGGGGGGGATAGGAAGGTGGGACAGGAGAGAGGATGGGACAGGCAAGGGAGGGGAACAGGACTGAACCAGTATTGGGAGCTGGACAAGGGGAAGGGGATGGGGCGGGGGGCGGGACGGGAAAAAGGGGGAGAGGGAATGGGTGAGAGGGGAGACGGGGGTGGGGGAGGGTAACGTTTTGGGTGACCGGGCTGAAGGATTAAGTCTCTTGGGTGTTTCACAACGCCTGCTCGCAGCAACCCCTGGCAAGTGGAACTAGTTGGGGGAGAAGGGCAGAAGTGATGTGTTACCTGATGAAATTGAGGGGAGGGGGGGCAGGAATAATCTGCTCAGCTTAGTCCAAAAGTGAAGGGGGACGTGGTACCAGATGGACTGAGCGAGAGCAGTGGTGTTGCCGTAGGCGGATGCTTAGAACACGGCCACTGTGGCCTCAATCTCCAGCTGCTTGATCTTCTTGCACCTCCCACCACCACCCCCACCACCCCCACCACCCCCACCACCACCACCACCACCACCCCCACCACCACTACCACCACCACCACCACCACCACCACCACCCCCACCACCACTACCACCACCACCACCACCACCACCACTACCACCACCACCACCACCACCACCCCCACCACCCCCACCACCACTACCACCACCACCACCCCCACCACCACTACCACCACCACCACCACCACCACCACCCCCACCACCACTACCACCACCACCACCCCCACCACCACTACCACCACCACCACCACCACAACCTCTCGGCCACCACCACCACTTTCACCACGTTACACCGAAAGGTGGGAGGGAGGAGAGTTGTTATGTGCAGGAAATCAGAGACCATGCGGTGGAAATAAGCGAACACGCGTGACAAGAGTCGTGGAGGGGATTGAGTGGAGGTTACATTACAACCAATGGGATTGTGGGAAGGTTGGTTTAGGGTAAATGGCGGAATAGGTTACATACCGGAACCATCGTATGGGTCTCCAGAACCGGTCTCAATCTCCGCGTGTTTAGGGTGCCATGTCACCTAGTATCTCATTCACGGAGATTAAATCAGTCAATGGAAACACGAAACGAACAGAGACAACACGCGGTTACTTTCTATGACCCCCACAACACGGCCACATTATGTACATACGAAGTAAGTTGCGACGTGCGCCGGTCGGGGCGAGGTGCGTCGTATGGGGCTGCGCAGCCCGCGACGCGATTGGAGTTCTCAATTGTGTTTCCCCCGATCCGAAAGAAACACCTTGGGATGGCCCGGCAGCTGTGGGAGACTCTGCTTGTGGTGACTCCTCCTCTGCCATCTCTCTTGGAGGTGGGGTGCCGTCCATGTTGGCGGCAGTCGCGGCATAGGGAGGGCGGATGAGGGGGGGGGGGGGGGGGCTGAAGAAGGGGAGGGAAAACGAGTTGAGGGGAGGACTAGAGGAAGGGCGAATGAGCGGGAGAGACGATGAGAAGGAGAGAGGATGAGAGCGTGAAGGGCGGACGAGAGGAAGGGCGGATGAGTCGAAAGGAGGATGAGAGGAAGGGGGGATGAGAGGAATGGAAGGGGAGCGGAAGGGAGCGTGAGAGAAAGGGAGAATGAGAAGGAGAGAGGATGAAAGAGAAGGGCGGATGAGAGGAAGGGCGGATGAGAGGAAGGGCGGATGAGAGGAAAGGAGGATGAGAGGAAAGGATGATGAGAGGAAAGGAGGATGAGAGGAAGGGGGGATGAGAGGGAAGGAGGACGAGAAGAAGGGGGGATGAGAGGAATGGAAGAGGAGAGGAAGGGAGGATGAGAGAAAGGGAGAATGAGAAGAAGGGCGGATGAGAGAGAAGGGCGGATGAGAGGAAGGGCGGATGGGAGGAAGGGCGGATGAGAGGAAGGGTGGATGAGAGGAAGGGTGGATGAGAGGAAAGGAGGATGAGAGGAAAGGATGATGAGAGTAGGGGGGGATGAGAGGAAGGGAGGACGAGGGGAACAGAGGATGAGATGAAGGGCGGTTGTGGGGGAGGGCGGATGATGGGGAGGGAGGACGAGAAGAAGGGTGGATGAGAGAAAGGAGGATGAGAGGGAGAGACGATGAGAAGGAGAGAGGATGAGAGCGTGAAGGGCGGTTGAGAGGAAGGGCGGATGAGAGGAAAGGAGGATGAGAGGAAAGGAGGATGAGAGGAAGGAGGGATGAGAGGAATGGAAGGGGAGCGGAAGGGAGCGTGAGAGAAAGGGAGTATGAGAGAAAGGGAGAATGAGAAGGAGAGAGGATGAAAGAGAAGGGCGGATGAGAGGAAGGGCGGATGAGAGGAAGGGCGGATGAGAGGAAAGGAGGATGAGAGGAAAGGATGATGAGAGGAGGGGGGGATGAGAGGAAGGGAGGACGAGGGGAACAGAGGATGAGATGAAGGGCGGTTGTGGGGAAGGGAGGATGAGATGAAGGGCGGATGAGGGGGGTGGCGGATGAGGGGGAGGGAGGACGCGAAGAAGGGTGGATGAGAGAAAGGAGGATGAGAGGGAGAGACGATGAGGAGGAGAGAGGATGAGAGCGTGAAGGGCGGATGAGAGGAAGGGCGGATGAGAGGAAAGGAGGATGGGAGGAAAGGTTGGATGAGAGGAAGGGGGGACGAGTGGAATGGAAGGGGAGAGGAAGGGAGGATGAGAGAAAGGGAGTATGAGAGAATGGGAGAATGAGAAGGAGAGAGGATGAGAGTGAAGGGCGGATGAGAGGAAGGGCGGATGTGGGGATGGGAGGATGACAGGAAAGGAGGATGAGAGGAAAGGAGGATGAGAGGAGGGGAGGACGAGGGGAACAGAGGATGAGATGAAGGGCGGATGAGGGGAATGGAGGATGAGATGAAGGGCGGATGAGGGGGAGGGCGGATGAGGGGGAGGGAGGACGAGAAGAAGGGTGGACGAGGGTAAGGAGGATGAGAGGGAGAGACGATGAGAAGGAGAGAGGATGAGAGCGTGAAGGGCGGATGAGAGGAAGGGCGGATGAGAGGAAGGGCGGATGAGAGGAAAGGAGGATGAGAGGAAAGGAGGATGAGAGGAAGGGGGGATGAGAGGAAGGTTGGATGAGAGAAGGGAGGATGAGATGAAGGGCGGTTGAGGGGGAGGGCGGATGAGGGGGAGGGAGGACGAGAAGAAGGGTGGATGAGAGGGAGGGCGGACGAGGGGGAGGGCGGATGAGGGGGAGGGCGGATGAGGGCGTGTGGCGAAAGAAGGGTAGGGAGGACGAGTGGAAATGAGGACGATAGGAGGGGCGGATGAGAGGGAGAGAGGATGTGAGAGAAGGGCGGACGAGAGGAAGGGCGGATGAGAGGAAGGGAGGATGAAGGGAATTGTGAGCGACAGGTAGCGAAATGTGGGCGACGGGGAGGGAAACGAGGGCGACGAGAGGGGAAATGTGGGCGACGGGAAGGGAAATGTGGGCGATGAGAGGGGAAATGAGGGCGACGGGAAGGGAAATGTGGGCGACGAGAGGGGAAATGAGGGCGACGAGAGGGGAAACGAGGGCGACGGGAAGGGAAATGAGTGCGACGGGAAGGGAAATTAGTGCGACGGGAAGGGAAACGAGGGCGACGGGGTGGGAAATGAGTGCGACGGTAAGGGAAATTAGTGCGACGGGAAGGGTAATGAGGGCGACGGGAAGGGAAACGAGGGCGACGGGAAGGGATTTGTGGGCGACGGGACCGGTAATGTGGGTTCTCGGGAAGGGAATTGAGGGCGACCGGACTCGGGAAGTGTGGGCGACTCGAAATTTGGGATACGAGGGCGACGGGACGCGAAATGGGGGCGACGGGAAGCTGAAATGTGGGCGACGGGAAGCTGAAAATGAGGGCGACGGGGGGCTGAGATGAGCCCGACGGGAGGCTTCTCACCATGCGCTATGTGAAAGGCAGGCGCTCGCAAACGGCGGGGAGGGGACTTTCCCGGGTTGGGCGGGAGGCTTGATGCTGAGAGCGCCTCGAGCGCGTGGGAGTCTAAGCTGCACCGACGGGTGGCGTAACAAAACTATGTGGGGCAGACCGATGGATACGTCCGCCCTGTTCCCTATGTGTTGAGGGCGTTGTCGAGGGCGCTTGTTTTAGCCTACACTTTTCGAGTACCGCTGAAAATCGCTAGGTCAGGCCTTGATGTGTTAGGCTAACTCACGTGCGACCTGGCGTTTAGTAACGCCATTGCCCTCCACACCCTAAAAATCGCACTTTTCCGGTACAGTCAACACGGACATTCGCTCCCAACGGCTCCTCGTATTTATAGAGGCTAAGGTCGCGCCTCGCTGAAGGGGACTCAGGACTTGTTATGTTTGTTCGAGTGCCTGTAATTCCCTATGGGTAATTACATTCTGGGTAACCAACATTGAGCCCGCTGACGTCGAAAGTCACCTACGTGGCTCGATGGTACCCGTCAGATCATGCGCGCCCCTTCGTGGTACCCATCTTCCCTCCGTGGTACCCATCTTCCCTGCGTGGTACCCATCAACTGTGCGCGAATTCCCTGACTGGTACCGCAACATTTCAACCGAGCTGTACACCGTACAACAAGGGTGTCAATGCGTTTTTCACTATATTGTCTTAACGTTTACAAGCTCAATAGAGTCCGAAGCCCGAAGTGCCACATAATCGGGTCAAATTTTCAAGCGCATTACCTATAATAAAGTGTAGAAGAAAAGCTGAATTTAGGAAAACATTTATTGTGTAGATTTCTTTAGGCTCATAAACATCCACATTATAACGTGCTATAATTTAAATCACCACAGATATATTGCATCAACCGAAACACAAAAATTAACATCCGTGTAACAAACGATCAACTGACACGTAATATATATATTGACTTAAGGTTATTTGATTTTCATTAATGAGTATTGTTTTGTTTCCAGAAACCAACGAATGTACGTATTATTTGTTTATGCTTTTCTATTTAGCTGTGGGGGTACATGCTCAATTTATTTGCATACAACCTTATTAACTTTGTTCAGATTACCAACTGCGCGCTGAGAAACATGGTCGTAAGATTCACGCTACCTATCGCTCAGTGATGTGAGCTTACAAAGGTTCGGAGGTAACGTGAGGATTTTAGAAGGGGAGTTGGTTTTTTCTAGGTTGCACTCTATCCAGTGTAAGGCACGTTCAAAGGTATTAATGTTCAAATGTATTAATGTTCAATTGCAGACAGAAAACGTTGGTATAATATACATCGGAATACAGCTCGGTTGATTAATCGCATTAATGCGATTACATTATAATATGCGATTACATTCTGGGTCAACATTTCAACCGAGCTGTATTCCGTACAACAAGGGTTTCAATGCGATTTTCACTATATTATACCAACGTTTTCTGTCTGCAATTGAACATTAATACATTTGAACATTAATACCTTTGAACGTGCCTTACACTGGATAGAGTGCAACCTAGAAAAAATCAACTCCCCTTCTAAAATCCTCACGTTACCTCCGAACCTTTGTAAGCTCACATCACTGAGCGATAGGTAGCGTGAATCTTACGACCATGTTTCTCAGCGCGCAGTTGGTAATCTGAACAAAGTTCATAAGGTTGTATGCAAATAAATTGAGCATGTACCCCCACAGCTAAATAGAAAAGCATAAACAAATAATACGTACATTCGTTGGTTTCTGGAAACAAAACAATACCCATTAATGAAAATCAAATAACCTTAAGTCAATATATATATTACGTGTCAGTTGATCGTTTGTTACACGGATGTTAATTTTTGTGTTTCGGTTGATGCAATATATCTGTGGTGATTTAAATTATAGCACGTTATAATGTGGATGTTTATGAGCCTAAAGAAATCTACACAATAAATGTTTTCCTAAATTCAGCTTTTCTTCTACACTTTATTATAGGTAATGCGCTTGAAAATTTGACCCGATTATGTGGCACTTCGGGCTTCGGACTCTATTGAGCTTGTAAACGTTAAGACAATATAGTGAAAAACGCATTGACACCCTTGTTGTACGGTGTACAGCTCGGTTGAAATGTTGCGGTACCAGTCAGGGAATTCGCGCACAGTTGATGGGTACCACGCAGGGAAGATGGGTACCACGGAGGGAAGATGGGTACCACGAAGGGGCGCGCATGATCTGACGGGTACCATCGAGCCACGTAGGTGACTTTCGACGTCAGCGGGCTCAATGTTGGTTACCCAGAATGTAATTACCCTTTTCAGTCGCAAGCTGGTTTTGGTTTTTCGCGTGTCACTCAACCCATCCGAACCTCCAACTGGCAGCCCGCCGAACCTAGAAATACTCAGTTGACTGCCGTTGAGTAATTCAGGTCTTGGGCTTTAAGGTATAAGATATAGTCAAAGAACAAATCATAGCAAGGGTGCACCACCAAACATAGGCAGAATGACTACACTACGATGTAATAAAGCAATTAAACAATATAGTCTTGCCAAACCAATATAGATCCTTAAAGATGTTCTTAGAGCAGAACAACACAAGCTCTATACAGTAGGGCAGGGCATGCACCATAAGAAATTGTCTCCAACAACTACATTCTATCCTTATATACTTGCCTCAATATTTGTTCCCTTCCACCCTTCAGGATAATAATCCTTCTAGCATCTCGTTATTGCCTCGGAACTTTCCAGTCTCTTTCCTTCTTAACTTCCTATAACGCCACAGCCTCTCACTCCCTCCTCTCACCTTCCCCTTCCCCGTCCACCTGTTCTCCCTCCAGAACACACGTGCAGTGAGCAGCGATCACAAGAGATACGTGCTGCTGCAGCTGCCGCACAAAGTCCGATGACATGTGAAGAGGGGTGAAGGCTCTTGACGGTTCGGCTGGTCGTGTTGACTCCGCAGCACTTTGCAAAGGAGTTGCTTCCGCTGGTGAGTCCTCTTGCTGCTGATGCTGCTGTGAAGGAGGAACAACAGGGGGGTGGATATGGGATGTGATGGCAATTAAATGACAACCGTGACATGTTAACCCTCAGCCACACACCACATGCCCCATAGCGCATGCACAATGTTAGATGCACAATACCACATGCATCATGCCCCACGCATCATGTCATGCGCTTGACGCCCCATGCAAAATGCCCCACGCCCCATGCCACATCCCAGAGGCCTCCTGTGCCCTGCCCCATGCTTCATACTCCATGACCCCTGCCCCATACACCGAGGCCCCACACCCCATGCCCCACGCCCCATGCCCCACTCCCCATGCCCCACACCCCATGCCCCACGCCCCATGCCCCACACCCCATGCCCCACGCCCCATGCCCCACACCCCATGCCCCACGCCAAACTCCCCACGCCACACACCCCACGCCACACACCCCACGCCACACACCCCACGCCACACACCCCACGCCACACACCCCACGCCACACACCCCACGCCACACACCCCACGCCCCACACCCCACGCCCCACACCCCACGCCCCACACCCCTGCCACATGCACGTGCCTTGGAAGCAGGCAGCAGGATGGTATCGAGGGGCAACAGCAGGCGAGAGGTGCTGCTGATGAACGCCCCCTGCCACTTGTGCGCCTCACCCACCTGGGGTGCCCTCAGCTGCACTGGCACCCCTGGGAGGAGGAGAGGGGTGAACGGTGTGTGCAAGAAGGGGAGGGAGAACGGGGTGCAAGATGAGTGGGTCAGGGGGAGACACGAAGTACGAGATGGAGGGGAAGAGGGAGGGAGAGAGGGGGAAAAACTGTTGTGGACGTCACCTTGCTATAATGTCTGACCTTTTAACACCGCCTGCCCTTGCTCTATTGCCCGCCCTTGCTCTATTGCCCGCCCTTGCTCTATTGCCTGCCCTTGCTCTATTGCCTGCCCTTGCTCTATTACCTGCCCTTGCTCTATTGCCTGCCCTTGCTAGTCCCTGACCTTGCTGCTGGCAGACGGAGAGGATGAGGGAACGAATGGTGCCTTTGAGCACGCCCTCCTCTGCTGTCACCACCACACCGCCTGCCTCCACCTGCACGCATGCCATATGCCAGCACACACACGCAATGCAACATCACGCACAGTCAAACACACAGGCGATATGATTGGTGCAAGCAGGGGAGGAACAGGGGAGGGGCAGGGGAGGAGCGAATAGTGCCATTAAGCATACCCTCCTCTGCTGTCACTGCCAAGCCAAGCCCCCTGCCTCCACCTGCGTGCATTGGCAACAGAGGCACATGCAGCACCGAACACAGTCAAACACACGGGCGATATGATTGGTGCAAGCAGGAAGCGAGCAGGGGAGGGGCAGGGGTTAAGCATCGGAGAAGGAGGGGAGCAGGGGAGGAGGAAGGGTAGACGCAAGTGGGGCAGCAGGGAGGGAGAAGGGGGCGACGCAGGGGCGGGGAAGGGAGATAACCAGGGGCAGAGGGGAGCGGGAAGGAGCAGCAAGGAAGTTGCTTCTGCCACCCTCCAAAACCGAGTTTCAAGAGACGTCTCAAAGTGAGGGTGGGTCGAAAGTGCATCTGGGAACTCACCGCAAAGAAGTTGCTGGTGCTGCCCTCTAGAACACTGCCGTCGCTGTCCACCAGAAGAACCTCCTCCGCCCCCTGCTGCCTCTTCACCTCCTCCAGTGCCGCCCTCTCCCTGCATTGTCATGCCATGCCATGCCGTGCCGTTCCCATGCCATACCATGCCATGCCGTGCCATACCATTCCATGCCGTGCCACACCATACCATTCCATGCCGTGCCACACCATACCATTCCATACCATGCCATGCCATGCCATGCCATGCCATGCCATGCCATGCCATGCCATGCCATGCCATGCCATGCCATGCCATGCCATGCCATGCCATGCCATGCCATGCCATGCCATGCCATGCCATGCCACACCATACCATGCCATGCCATGCCATGCCATGCCATGCCATGCCAAGCAACAGAAGCACAGAGGGCCACGAATGAAGAGAGGAAAAAGGGAGGTGACAGCAGTCTGGCGAGCATGATTCTCAGTACTGAGCAGCAGTGGAGCAAGCAATGGATGTGAAGGGCTTTCTCACTCACTCACTTTCTCACTCACTCACTTTCTCACTCACTCACTTTCTCACTCACTCACCGCGCCCATGCCGAGTCCTTAGCTGCTGGATTCTTGCGCGGCCGCCCCGCCACCACCACCCGCACAGGGGGCGACGGCGGAGGGGGAAGCGGCGCCGCGTGCACAAAAAGGTCATACGGCTGAGAGTTTTGGGAGGGAGAAACGGGAAGACGCATGCAGGGAGGGGCGAGGGGAGAGGGGGGCCAAGGGCGGGGTGCTTTTGCTTGGATGGTGGCAGGAGGGGAAGCGGCGCCGTGTGCACAAAGAGGTCATGAGGCTGAGAGTTCTGGGAGGGACAAATGGGAAGACGCATGCGGAGAGAGGGGAGAGGGGAGAGGGGGGCAAGGGCGGGGTGCTTTGGCTTGGACGGTGGCACGAGGGAAAGCGACTTTTGAGACATCTCAAAAAGTCAGGGGAGGGGGCCAAGGGAGGGGTGCTTTAGTTTGGACGGTGGCACGAGGGGAAGCGGCGCCACGTGCACTAAAACAACTCGATTTTTGAGTCGACTAAAAAAATTGACTTATCACATGCGGACGGTGGCAGGAGGGGAAGCGGCGACGCGTGCATGAAGAGATCGTATGGGTGAGGGAAGAGCAGTATGAGAGGGGGGCGAGGGGAGGGACATGGGGAGGGACATGGGGAGAGCCGGGACGAAAAGGGTTTCACGAAAAGTGTTAGGAGGGAGGGGAAGTGCAGGTGGCACTCAAGCGAGCCTAGGTGGATGGTTCTTGGGAATGTGGTTGAAAAGATGTAACTGAAAGATGAGAGGGATGGATGGAGAGTGTTAGGTGAGACAGTTTTCTTTGAAATTCTCAACAATCGCTCACAAGGACTAAAGCGAGCCTAGGTGGATGGTTCTTGGGGATGCGGTGGAGGGATGGATGGAGAGTGGTAGGGGAGACAGTGGAAGATGTTGCGAGAGGAAGGGGGGATGTGTGGAGAGTGTACGATGATGGACCACACATGGAAGGATGTTGCACTTGGAAGCCACAAAACGTTTTCATGCACACACACACACACACACACACACACACACACACACACACACACACACACACACACACACACACACACACACACACACACACACACATGCAGCAGCGGCAGCAGCACCTGGGTAGAGGAGGGCGAGGAGGGCGGTGCCAGCAGCGCTGTCAGGCGCACTTCCATGGGCGGACGCGACGAGGAGGAGGGGGAGGGGGAGGAAAAGGGGGAGGGGGAAGAGGAGGAGGAGGGTGGAGCAAGAGTGGGGGGTGGGGATGCGGCGGCAGAAGTCGAGGCGGCAGGGGTGGCTTGACTGGCAGTTGCAGTGCTGGTGGTGGTGGCATGTGGGAGAGTGGCATTGCAATGGAGGAACTCCTTTATTGCCTGTGCAAAGGCGGACTTGATCACTGGACGGAGACTCTGGGAAGGAGGGAGAGCGCAGGGGGAGTGGAGTGGAGTGGAATATAACGAGTGTGAGTGAGTGATGTGTGCTGAAATGTGAACAGGTGAATGTGAATGAGTGAGGAGGGAGTAATAGTTCCTCCGCGGGATACAGACGAGAAGAGTCCTGAGTGGTGAATGCGAGGAGTAGTAACAGTAGGAGGGAGGAAAGCACGGGGCAGGTTTCGGGGAGAAAGGAAAGAACGGACGGGAGGAGGGAAGGTTCGAAAAAGACTCACTTTAAACGTCAGTTGTGAATCAGCAGCAGCAGCAGCAGCAGCAGCAGCAGCAGCAGCAGAAGCAGAAGCAGTGTGCACAGGAGGTGCAGGGGCGTCAGGGGAATCCCTACAGCTATCCCTCCCCTTCTCCTGATGCCCACTGCTCTCCCCCGTCGCACCACCAGGCACCACTGCCAGACCCATCAGACCTGCTGACTCCACTGCTCAGACAAGACAAAGACAGCCATGGGAAAGGCAGGGTGGGGGTTTTCGAGTCGACTCAAAAGGCACCACTGCCAGACCCATCAGACCTGCTGACTCCACTGCTCAACCAAAAGAATTAGATGCGTGGGGGAGGCAGGATGGGGGCTGTGTTAGAGTCAAGAGGCTGTGCATGGTTGTGGGGTGCAGGACATGTGGTAACGGGCGATAGCAACAAGGGAGCAATATTGCACGAGACAAGATGAAGCTGGCGGATGCACCTAAAATATAAATCACCAAATCACCCAGTCGCTGCACTCACCCAGTCGCTGCACTCACTCGCTGCACTCACCCAGTCGCTGCACTCACCCAGTTACTGCACTCACCCAGTTGCTGCACTCACCCAGTCGCTGCACTCACCCAGTCGCTGCACTCACCCAGTCGCTGCACTCACCCAGTCGCTGCACGTGCATGTCGAATTCGAGCACGGAGTGAACACCCACTGTGCGCGCTGTGGTGTATGCACCTGCCATGACATGGGAACGGGACACTCTGTGAGTGTGTGTGTATGTGTGTGTGTGTGTGTGTGTGTGTGTGTGTGTGTGCGTGCGTGTGTGCTGTGAGTGAGTGAGTGAGTGGTTAAACAGCGGGCCCTCCTTCCCTGCAGCTGCGGCAGATGAATGCAGGCATACATCACGTCTAGCGCCGTGAATTGTGCGTGTATTGTATATCCGTTACTCCCTGCTGATAGAACTATCGCTGTTGTGCATCATGATTTGCAATTAAACTGCGCCTGGCTTGATTCAACTGTTTAATCAAACAGGTATTTGAATGGTTCTGGTTCTTTCATCCTCACCTCGCGGGTAAGACCGCAGCAAGTCCGCAGCCGACATCTGGCACACCTTCGCCACCCCATTCTGAACCAACACCGACCGAGGCGCCGCTGCTCCCGGCGCCGCCGGCTCCGCTCCCTGCGCTGCTGAAGCTACCTCTCGCACTGCTGGCGAATCAGCTGTCGCCGCGTCAGCCATGTTCAAACGCGCCGATGCGGATGTGCGGACGCGATTCCCCGCACTACCCGCCGCTGAACGCGCTGAGAGCGGCACGTGGTGACCGACGAAAGACGCCGCGGATAAGAGATCTGGCGAAAAGGAAGGCCTAGTTGGGCTTGCGCAAAGTTTCCGCAACCCGCGCGCGGATGGCCGAAACTGGGAAATGAAACCGCGCAACTGTAGAGGAATGGGGGGAAGTGTCGGAGAGCAATGGTGCAAGCTAGCCACTTGTCGGAGTATCATTGGTCGGCTGCGGTACCTCACGGCCCAGACGGGCCTCGGGACAGGGAAGGATGGAGTTAGAATCGGAAGCTGCTGACCGTACGATGATAGCGTGCGATGCGGGTTGGCGACGGACAGAGATTATGGGGACGAGAGAGAGGGCAAGGAATGCGCAGAGGGGCTCACGGAGATCTATCGAGTCGCATGCATTCGTGCGTGAAGAAAGAAAAGCAATCTTGAACTAAATCGCGACACACACGATGGACGTTGAATCCAAGAACCTGAAAGACGAATACGGGACTCTTGCTTCTTGAAAGTGTGGGTTGGTTGGCCGCATTGCATTGAATGGAGGAGTCGTCCATTTTTGGGAAAAGATCATACAAGGGCCGAACAGTGCCAGAGGGGTGATCAACCAGGGGCCGAGAGGCCCGAAACTTACCAAACCAGTGCGCGACGAGGGATTAACAGGGGGTCTTTGTTTATTGCACATAATTATGTTACTAGTGGCATGTACGGGCTCGCATTTTCGCTCGCGTGTCGTTTAGCGAGCCGACTCTACCGGGAACTCTAGGGCAGCCAGAAAAAACTAAAACTCATAGGGAACCTGGATGTAATTTCGGGATGGATCAACCCTAAATAAGGGGCCCTCCCTGATATTTAGGGTTGATGCCTCCCGAGTCGCATCCGTTTCCGAATGGGTAATATATTTTTTCTTCTGCATTTCCGATCGGGTAGGTGATATGTATCACCCAGAATATATTATGTTGTTACGTACTCACGATTTCACACCCCGAATATTAATTCCAGAAGAAGGCGACGCGCGCGTTGTAGTAGACGGCGGTCAAAACCCTAAAAAAACAATGAACACAAAATTCGGCTCGTTTTAGCAATTTTCTTTTACTTATGGTTCGGCTTGTTCGCCGAGTCGTTTTTTCAGCTCCGGGTTGAAATCCTACGGTCGAGATTTACCGGCTCTACTTTGAACACCTTTCTGGCACTGCTCGGCCGCAATATGATCTTTTCCCTCCATTTTTTGGCAGGCACAGTGAAGAGGGGAGGGAGGCGCGAAGAATGGATTTCAGTGTGACGTGGCGCTGCTTTGAGCAGACACGACTGGAATGACGCTTGATTGCGCCTCTCGTCCAACAGCGTATGGTACGATTCCCGTACGAATATTGAGATCGCTTGTGGTAACCTGATATCGATGATACAAGGCTAACAAGATGGCTTACGAATGCGGGTGCGATGTGAGGAGCTGAGAATATCATTATCGAAGAATTCGGGTCACCCTTAGCGGGTACATACCCAGTGAGGTGCGATTTACAAGAACGCATATTCTCTATCAAAAATGTAATCACAGTTCATACATATTTAAAATGTGTGGCAGACGATTAGTATCCGAGAATCAGGTTATAGTCTCACAGCTAAAACAGAGGCATTCAACGCCGCTTAGTTTCAGTTTTTACACATAAATAAGTTATTATCACTTTTAATAGATAGAATTTTGTTTTGTGAGAGCAAGCTATAAATGCTTCATACGTCCACAGCTGACTTTGTTGGTCTCCGTGTGTCTTAATTTAGAATCAGAACAGGTTCATTCAAACGAAGAAGCTCATGCTGATCATCGATCAGCCCCTCACCACCCACAGCATATCTCCTCGAACCCCGCAACCACAACCCCCGATTCCATCCCCGTCCCTCCAAGCACACCCCCCAACCCTCGCTGCAATGGCGGCGGCCCGCGTGCCTCGCCGTGCGAGGATCGTGTCAGCCCCAGCGTCAGCGATCGCGCTGTCGCAGCGGATCGTAGGCTCGTCGCTCTCGTCCCACATCGCACGATCTGCCTTCCAGTCTCCCGTTCTTCCATCCCACGCTCCCGCCGCCACCGCAGCCGCAACCGCCGCCGCCGCTTCCGCTACTTCTGGTGTCAGTAGCGGAACCGTCACTGATCCAGCAGCCGATAGGGACGCTACAGACGCTACTGTAGCTTGTATCGAGGGTTCTTGTAAAGGGGTTGCGGCAGGGAGATTCAGCCGGCCCCGCTTTTCCCTCCTCGTTCCTGCGGCGTCGATCGCCCTCACCCACGTACGCGCGCTTATCCGCCCTGCGCTTTCATCCTTCCCGCTGCTTCCTTCCGCGCGCAACTGTTCAGAATCTGAAACGTTTCTCTGTTCCGCCCCTCCGCTCGCTCCTCCGTCTGCCAGTCCACCTGCTTTCCATCGGGCGTCCGTCTGTCACGACAAACCCCCTCGTGCCATGGAGGCCGATCCTCTTTCTGCGTTTTTGAAACTTCTTAAAAGTAGAAATTCGCAGAATCGTCTTCGTGCCATTGAATTCGCATGAGAGATCCTCTTTCCGCGCCAGCAGAAGGACAGCACGCGCCTGATTCGATCGGAGGCTTATCTTCGTAGTTTCGTCCCCCTCCGCGGTCCCCTCCTTCGGTCAGCCGTCCCCCGGTCCCTCGTCCACCATCGCTCATCCCCCGTCCCCCATTCCCCCGTCCCCCGTCCCCTATCCCCCATCCCCTGTCCCCTTTCCCGCCTTCCCGATCCCCCGTCCCCATCTCTACTCCCTCCCCGCGTCCCTCTGCCCATCCGTGCCCCCTCCGCCTCTTATCACCAGCCATGGCCGCCGCTCCACCACCCGCTCTCCGCCGCGCCCATCCCCGCGCTCGTCCGCTTCCTCTCGTCCTCCGCGCTAGCGCCGCAGCAGCTTCACTCCAGCGGCCTATCTGGCAACGCGGGCGCGGACAGCAGCAGCAGCAGCAGCAGCATCATCGAGGCGCTGCCGCCCTCTGTACCCCGTGCCGTTCCTGGTGAGTGAGCCTACCTCCTCCACGGCCCTTTTCCCACACACGTGGCTGGAACGTCCGTCTTGCCAATGACTCAGTCTACTCGCGACATCGTCTTCTCTTCCTTCCACCCTCTTCCACCCTCTCTGCATCGCCCTCGCTTCCCCTCGTCTTCTCTTCGACTCCCATCGTGTGCTACGTTACCCATCGCGTTTCACCCTCTCCCTACTCTCTCCCTCCCTACCTCCCCCACCCCTTCACCACCCAGACCCCGGCGAGTCTCTCTCAGCGCGAGTGGACCTGGCGGGCAGCGACGTGGTGTTTGAGACCTCACTTCCCCTCCTTCCCTTTCTTCCCCTGCCCCGATCCCGTCTCACCCTCTGTCCACTGTCCCCCTCCCCCCACCCCCAACCTCCCAGACCCCGGAGAGTCTCTCTCAGCGCGAGTGGACCTGGCGGGCAGCGAGGTGGTGTTTGAGACCTCACTTCCCCTCCCTCCTCCCCATCCCGCCTCACCCTCTGCTCACTGTTCCTCCGACACCCCCTCCCACGCAGACCCCGGCGAGTCCCTCTCAGCGCGAGTGGACCTGGCGGGCAGCGAGGTGGTGTTTGAGACCTCACTTCCCCTCCCTCCTCCCCATCCCGCCTCACCCTCTGCTCACTGTTCCTCCGACACCCCCTCCCACGCAGACCCCGGCGAGTCCCTCTCAGCGCGAGTGGACCTGGCGGGCAGCGAGGTGGTGTTTGAGACGGGGCGGCTGGCGCGCCTGGCGTCAGGCGCCGTGGTGGTGGGCGTGGGCGACACCAAGGTGCTCGTCACAGCCGTCGCCTCCCACGATAGGGACACTTCTCGGGACTTCCTGCCCCTCATGGTATGTGTGTATGTCTGCCTGTGTGCCCGTGTTCCTGCCTGCTCGCCTGCTCATTGTTGAGCCGACTCAATGAGCGCCTGGCGTCAGGGGCCGTGGTGGTGGGCGTGGGCGACACCAACGTGCTCGTCACTGCTGTCGCATCCCACGATCGGGACACCTCCCTGGACTTCCTGCCACTCACGGTATGTGTGTGTGTTTCTCTGTGCCTGTTGGTCTGTGTGTCTACCTGCCTGCCTACTTTTTCTGTCTGTCTGTCTGTTTGTTTTTGCAAAGGAACATGGTTATGTCAGTAGATTCAGGCAGCAGTGGACTCCAGTTGCACCCGGCCCAACAAAGCCCACTGCCTGTCCATCAGAAACCCTGACCAAAGCAACCATCCCCCTCAACAACCACCTGCTTCCCTGCCCTGTGTATATGTTATCTGTTTGTGTGCATGCGTGCCCGTGTGTGCATGCGTGCCCGTGTGTGCATGTGTGCATGCTCCTGTGCGTGCTTGGTTTTCCAACAGCAGGTGGACTACAGGGAGAGGCAGTACGTGATGGGGCGCATACCCAACACGTACATGCGGAGAGAGGGCGGGCCCAAGGAGAATGAAATAAGAATCCCACTCCCTGTTGATCGAAAACCTTACCCAAAGCAACCCACCCCCTTTCCCTGCCACCCTTTTTGCATCCCTGTATCTGTGTGCCCCAACGGCAGGTGGACTACAGGGAGAGGCAATATGTGATGGGCCGCATACCCAACACGTACATGCGACGGGAGGGCGCGCCCAAGGAGAGGGAGATCCTCTGTGCGCGCATCATCGACCGCTCCATTCGCCCGCTCTTCCCTAAAGGCTTCTTCTACGATACCCAGGTGGGTATGCCATTCGTTGGTAGGTACTCTTAGGTACATAAGCTTCCAACATACAGTGCAGGCCAGGAACCGATCGCTCTTATAGGAGAGAGTTCTAGTGAGGTTTTCTTGCTCCTCTGTTCACCTTTTGTCAGCCAAAATCCCGTATTCCTATCCCTTTGCGTATATTGAGGGACAATTGTTTTTCAGATCTCATTGAAGAAAGACTAAATGTGAAAATTTCGAAAGTTGTTAGCCTCAAGCTGAGTCCTTGGCAACATGGATTTTTTATGGCTCTGACCCTTCTGTCAAGTATTATTGTTTAAGGTAAATTGTAGCTTGTATACGCCAAATCGCTGATTTTCAAACTCATACCGTGTTTCGTTTGCCAGGGAGCTTTTGCGTACAATGCCATTCCGATTTCAAGGTACCTGGCTAGGAAGCACGTAGGGTGTGATCATGTGATTGACATGTGTCACATGATCACACCATCGTGCTTTCAAGCCAAGTAGCGTACCTTGAAATTGGAATAGCACTGTACGCATTAAGTTCCTTGGCAAACGAATTACGACATGAGTTTGACAAGAATCAGCGGTATACAAGTTACAACTTACCTTAAGCAAGAATACTTGACAGAAGAGTCAGGACCAACAAAAATCTCTGTTGCCATAGAGTCAGGACCAACAAAAATCTCTGTCGTGATGCTAACACCTGTCGAAGTCTTCTCATCGGGTCCTTCTTCAATGAGATCCGAAAGACAGTTATCCCTCATATCTGCAAAGGGATGGGAATACGGGAGTTTGGCTGACAAAAAGTGAAGAAAGGAGCAAAACAACCTCATTGGAACTCTCTCCCATACCAACGATCGGTTCCTGACCTCCACCGCTGTTGTTTTTTTGCTTAAGCCTACTACACGACTTCAGTTTTATGAGAAATGAGTGAACATCACGGCGGGAAGGCGCGAGGAGAGGGAGATCCAACGCCTTCTTGTATTGGACCCAACCGAGTTGGGGTGGTTAGGTAGACTTCTAAGGCGCCTAAAAATCGTCCCCTCTTTCCCGAAGGCCGTTTTCTACTGTACCTAGGTGGGTTGTCTGATGGTGACTTTTGAGGCAATGCAAGGCACCTTCTTTTATCTCTGCACTCCCCCCAACCCCCACCCACCCAACCACCACCCATCCACCCATCTGCAGATCACGGCCTCGGTGCTGAGCAGCGACTATTAGCAGGACCCAGACGTGCTGGCGGTGACCTTACCTGGCGCATGCCTCTTTTCTCATACCCCCTTCCCCTCTCGCAACCCCACACGTGCAGATCACGGCCTCTGTGCTGAGCAGCGACCATTAGCAGGACCCGGACGTGCTGGCACGCAGTGATGTGCTCTGGTCTCACCCAAACAGCACGTGCCTATTTCCCTGTTCCCCCCTCAATCAACCCGCGTGCAGATCACGGCCTCGGTGCTGAGCAGCGACCATTAGCAGGACCCGGACGTGCTGGCACGCAGTGATGTGCTCTGGTCTCACCCAAACAGCACGTGCCTATTTCCCTGTTCCCCCCTCAATCAACCCGCGTGCAGATCACGGCCTCGGTGCTGAGCAGCGACCATTAGCAGGACCCGGACGTGCTGGCACGCAGTGATGTGCTCTGGTCTCACCCAAACAGCACGTGCCTATTTCCCTGTTCCCCCCTCAATCAACCCGCGTGCAGATCACGGCCTCGGTGCTGAGCAGCGACCATTAGCAGGACCCGGACGTGCTGGCACGCAGTGATGTGCTCTGGTCTCACCCAAACAGCACGTGCCTATTTCCCTGTTCCCCCCTCAATCAACCCGCGTGCAGATCACGGCCTCGGTGCTGAGCAGCGACCAGGAGCAGGACCCGGACGTGCTGGCAGTGAATGCAGCGTCGGCAGCACTGTGCATCTCGGACATCCCCTGGAACGGCCCCATTGGCTGCGTGCGCGTGGGGCGCATTGACGGGCAGTTTGTTGTGAACCCATCCATGACGCAGGTGCGTGGGTGGTTGTGGTTCTGGGTGTGGGAGGAGGGAGGAGGGAGGAGGGAGGGGGTGCATGTGTGTGTGGTGTGTGTGTGTGACTTGACGCAGGTGTGTGGGTGAGTGTGTGGGGAGGGGAGAAAGTGGGGTGGATTGACGAAGGTATGTGCATGTGGCTCCTGATACTGCAGCGTCGGCAGCTCTGTGCATCTCGGACATCCCCTGGAACGGCCCCATCGGCTGCGTGCGCGTGGGGCGCATCGATGGGCAGTTTGTTGTCAACCCACCCATGACGCAGGTGCTTACCCAGGTGTTGTAGAGCGGTGGGAGGGAATTATGGGGTTGTGGGTGTGTCTGCGTGTGGGTGTGTGAGGGTTAGAGGTGGGGCTTGATCAGATGCGGTGACTTAGTACCCCCCCTTGTTTGGTTCCCTGCATGTGTGACTCTGTCTCTCCACCCCACCCCACCCCACCACACCTACCCCAACTCTTCGTCCCCCCGTGTTCGCCTCCCCCCTCCCCCCCCTTTCCCTGCAGCTTGCCAGCAGCGACCTGTCTCTGGTGTACGCATGCACACAAGAGCAACTGCTCTCCTCCCTGCTTCCTTCCTGTACGCCCCCAAACCCCCCTCCCCCCACCCCCGCAGCTTGCCAGCAGCGACCTGTCTCTGGTGTACGCATGCACACAAGAGCACGCAGTGATGATGGAGGTGCAGGCGCGCGAGATAAGCAACGAGGACATAGCAGCAGCGCTGCACCTCGCCCACGCAGAGGCCGCCAAGCTCATTCCCCCGCAACTACAGCTGGCAGAGCAGGCCCGCCAGGAGAAGCGCGAGGCAGTGACTGTCTCTTGTCTCTCCACCGCACTCCACCCACTGCAACCAATCTCCTCCCTGCTTCCTTCCTGTACGCCCCCAAACCCCCCTCCCCCCACCCCCGCAGCTTGCCAGCAGCGACCTGTCTCTGGTGTACGCATGCACACAAGAGCACGCAGTGATGATGGAGGTGCAGGCGCGCGAGATAAGCAACGAGGACATGGCAGCAGCGCTGCACCTCGCCCACGCAGAGGCCGCCAAGCTCATTCCCCCGCAACTACAGCTGGCAGAGCAGGCCCGCCAGGAGAAGCGCGAGGCAGTGACTGTCTCTTGTCTCTCCACCGCACTCCACCCACTGCAACCAATCTCCTCCCTGCTTCCTTCCTGTACGCCCCCAAACCCCCCTCCCCCCACCCCCGCAGCTTGCCAGCAGCGACCTGTCTCTGGTGTACGCATGCACACAAGAGCACGCAGTGATGATGGAGGTGCAGGCACGCGAGATAAGCAACGAGGACATGGCAGCAGCGCTGCACCTCGCCCACGCAGAGGCCGCCAAGCTCATTCCCCCGCAACTACAGCTGGCAGAGCAGGCCCGCCAGGAGAAGCGCGAGGCAGTGACTGTCTCTTGTCTCTCCACCGCACTCCACCCACTGCAACCAATCTCCTCCCTGCTTCCTTCCTGTACGCCCCCAAACCCCCCTCCCCCCACCCCCGCAGCTTGCCAGCAGCGACCTGTCTCTGGTGTACGCATGCACGCAAGAGCACGCAGTGATGATGGAGGTGCAGGCGCGCGAGATAAGCAACGAGGACATGGCAGCAGCGCTGCACCTCGCCCACGCCGAGGCCGCCAAGCTCATTCCCCCGCAGCTGGAGCTGGCAGAGCAGGCCCGCCAGGAGAAGCGCCAGGCCGTGCCGCTGGTGGTGACGCCTGCAGTGATGGAGCGAGTGAGGGGGCTGGCAGGGGGGGCCGTGACAGCGGTTCTCACCAATTCTCTCTACTCCAAGGTACGTGGTGACTTGACTTGTGAGGCACCTTGGAAGCCGGCAGGGGAAGAGGCAGGCCGTGCCGCTGGTGGTGACGCCCGCAGTGATGGAGCGAGTGAGGGGGCTGGCAGGGAACGCTGTCGAGGCTGTGCTCACCAATTCTGCCTACTCCAAGGTAGGTGGTGTTGCTGCATGTGGTAGCTGGTTGCCGGGTTCCCGAGTAGCAGGTAGCAGGTAGTCAGTAGCAGGTAGCCGCCAAGCTCATTCCCCCGCAGCTGCTGCTCGCAGAGCAGGCCCGCCAGGAGAAGCGCCAGGCCGTGCCGCTGGTGGTGACTGACGCCCGCAGCAGACGCAGTGATGGATGGAGCGAGTGAGGGGGATCGCAGGGATCGCTGTGGTGGCTGTGCTGTGCTCACCGATTCTGCCTACTCCAAGGTAGGTAGGTGGTGTTGCTTGCTGCTAGTGGTAGCGGGCGGGCTGCCAGCCAGGTACCTCGATCGCAGGGCAGGTAGCTGGTTACGGTCAGCCTTTCTAGCAGGCAGGTTACGCTCATACTGAGGAAGGTGGAGGAGGATATGTTTTCTTAAAGAGCGACACCCGAATTGCTCAACGTAAGTCAACGCGGGAAAAACAGCTTCGGAAAGGCAGGCAGTTGGAGGTTCGGAAAACTTCCGAAACCCTTTTGCCCTGAACCCAAGTAGGGGCGAGACGCAAACTGGGCCCAGTTTGTGAAAGCGTTTTGCAATTCGGGGGCTGTGCTTTAAATGTCTCATTACTACCCCCCTCCCCTCCCCTTTCTCCCCTCCTCATTCCCCCATTCCCCCTTTCGTGCCATGTTTTACAGCAAGACAGGGGGCGGGCATTGAGCAAGGTGCAGCAGGATGTGGCGGAGGTGCTGGGGGGAGGGGAGAGTGGGCTTGCTGGGGAGAAGGTGGAGGGGGGAGGGGCGGAGGTGGAGCAGGAGAGGGAGGGTGGTGATTCTGCGTTGGCCCAGCTGCCAGGCGCCATGGAGAAACTCAAGCGGGAGGTGAGTGCAGGTGAAAGGGCTCTCGCTGTGGAGTGGGAAGGGAAAAGCTTGCAGCAGCAGGGTGTTTTTGAATAATGTTAAAAACGTTCTGCAACTCCAGTGAAAAGCTCTGCTGCTCTTAAGCTGCGTCATGGATTGAGGGCCTTTTTGTGCTCTGCATGGATTTCTGCGTGTATGATTTGTGTGAGCAGGTGATTCGCGATGCAGTGCTGGGCAGGGGCTCGCGAGCGGACGGGCGGGGGTTGGAGGAGGTGCGGCAGGTGGCGTGTGAGGCAGGCGTGCTCAACCCACTACATGGCTCCTCGCTCTTCTCCCGCGGGAACACGCAGGTGGGTTTGAGGTAGAGAGCGCTTTTGCGGCGCCTAGCTGTTGAAGGTTGGTTAGGTAGGTGGTGCAGCGCCTCAGCGCCTCAATCCGTGGCTCAGCTTGGTTCAGCTCAGCTCTTCGCATCTTGCCCATGGTCACTCCATCTTACCCATCCATACTCAACCTTTTCTCCTCTTCCCTTCCCCACACCCACCCACTATCCACCCTGCTCCTGCTGTTCCTTCCTTCCCCACACCCCCTTTCCCGCACCCCATCTCCCCTCTTCCCTGCTCCCTTCTTCCCCCTTTCTCCTCTCCATGCAACATCCCAATTCCCCCCCAGGTGCTGTGCACGGTGACTCTAAGCCCACTAAACGATGCGCAGGTGGGCTCATAATGGGGAGTGACTTAGAAGCTGTTCATGGTGCAGACTCCTTCCCTCTCTCTCCACCTCCCTCCCCAGGTGCTTTGCATGGTCACACTAGGCCCTCCGGATGACGCACAGCGGGTGGATTCCCTGATAGGAGTGACGCAGAAGCGCTTCATGGTGCACTACTCCTTCCCGCCCTTCCCCATCCCCCCCATAAAACCAAACCCTCCTCAGGTGCTGTGCACGGTAACACTGGGTCCACCAGACGACGCGCAGCGCGTGGACTCGCTCACAGGAGTGACCCAGAAGCGGTTCATGGTGCACTACTCCTTCCCGCCTTTCCCCCCTCCCTCCGCAGGTGCTGTGCACGGTGACTCTAGGCCCTCCAGACGACGCACAACGCGTGGACTCCTTGACCGGAGTGACCCAGAAGCGGTTCATGGTGCACTACTCCTTCCCGCCCTTCTCCGTCAACGAAGTGCGCAGCGAGCGCGGCGGGCTCAACCGCAGGGAGGTGGGGCATGGTGAGTGGCGGTTTGGGGGGGTGGGGCGCGGTGAGTGCGGAGTGTGGATCCTCGAAAGAGTGAGTGCAGTGGAGCGGCGGGGCACGGTGGTGAGTGTTGTGTCTTACCGTCCTGTGTCACAGATCTCAGGGGCGGGTGGGGCCATACCCTGCAAGTTTGATGTAAAAAAAAAAGGGTGGTGAAGTGCGTGTTTCGTGAGGCGGGTGCACCACAGGCATCCATCCATCCATCCATTCATCCATACCCCCGCTCCCACTTTCCTCCACCCCTCTTTTCCCTCCAGGCACATTAGCGGAGAAGGCACTGCTGGCAGTGTTCCCAGATGAGACGAGCAGGAGCTGCCATACTCGGTGCGCGTGACCCGCCGGTAGTCCCAATCACCCACACTCACGCCCACGCATACACTGCCATCCGTACCCTCCCCCCTCCAGGAACACTGGCGGAGAAGGCACTGCTGGCAGTGTTCCCGGACGAGCAGGAGCTGCCATACTCGGTGCGCGTGACGTCAGAAGTCATGAGCTCCGATGGCTCCTCCTCCATGGCCACCGTCTGCGGAGGTACGTACTCCCGCTCTCTCTTCTCCCACTTCTCTCTCTTCTCTAGCCTCTTTTGAGGCGCTTTACAAGCTCCGGTGGCTCCTCCTCCATGGCCACCGTCTGTGAAGGTACCAACTCCTGCTTCCTGAGAGCTCACTGCGTCCCTCCCATTGCCTGCCTGTGAGCTCACCTCGTTTGTCTGCCTGTTTCGATCGCTCCTCCACTTCTTTTTTCCCTTTCCTCCCCCCTCTCCACTCCCTCTTCCCCACGTGCAGCGAGCCTGGCGCTGATGGATGCGGGCGTGGGCGTGAGGGAGCACGTGGCGGGCATAAGCATGGGGCTCGTGACAGACGTTGACCCGAGCACAGGGGAGATCAAGGACTACCGCCTGCTCACCGATATCCTGGTGGGCTTGGGGGGGTGGGCACGGAGGGAGAGAGGGAGGGCGGATGGGGGGATATGTTGAGAGGGGTAAGGGCCTCTGGAAGCATGCCATGGGGTCTGTAACGGCCGTTGACCCGCGCACGGGAGATATGAAGGACTACCACCTGCTCACTGATATCCTGGTGGGCCTGGGGGGGGGGGAAGTAGGGGAAGAGGGAGGGGGGAGGGGGAGGTGGGAGGGAGGAGAAGGGTGAGTGGCTTCTGAAAGCATAAGCATGGGGCTCGGGCTCGTGACCGATGTGGATCCGAGCACAGGGGAGATCAAAGACTATCGCCTGCTCACCGAAATCCTGGTGGGCTTTGGTTGCGTGGGTGATGGGGGGTGTGAGTGAGGGATATGGTACCTGTGCTTGTGTGTGCGATTTGTGTGTGCATGTGCATGTGCATGTGCATGTGCATGTGCATGTGTGCATGAAGATCTATCTGGGCAACATGGACTTCAAGATGTAGCTAATTCACAGCAAAGCCCCATTCCCACACTCTCCTACCCCCTCTTCCCTCCTCCCTCCTCCTTCCTCCCTCCTCCTCTCCTCCCCCTCTCCCCCCCCCCTCTCTTCAACCTGTTTTCTCTCACCTCCCATTCTTCGCCACCCCTCTCTTTGTCCTCCCCCCCCCCCCCCCCCTCAGGGTTTGGAGGACTATCTGGGCGACATGGATTTTAAGATAGAAGGAACACACGTGAACACCCTCCCTCTCCGCTTCCTCCTGTCAACCCTCCTCTCACCCTTTCTCTTTCCCTTTTCCCCCTGTCACCCCTTCCCCTTCCCCACTTCCCTTACCAGGGTTTAGAGGACTATCTGGGAGACATGGATTTCAAGATAGCAGGAACCCGCCGGGGAATCACAGCCATACAGCTCGACATCAAGCTGCCGGGCGTTCCGCTGCCCGTGCTCTGCGCTGCTCTCGACCCGGCTCTCACCGCACGCAGCCGTATCATCGAGCACATGGAGAAGGAGCTTGCTGGGCCACGCCTGGAGCACAGCGCTACCGCTCCCAGATTCGGTGAGTAGTGTGGGATGGGATGGGATGGGATGGGAGAGTGTGCCGCTGCCCGTGCTGTGCGCTGCTCTCGACCCCGCTCTCAGCGCACGCATCCGCATCATCGAGCACATGGAGAAGGAGCTTGCTGGGCCACGCCTGGAGCACAGCGCTACCGCTCCCAGATTCGGTGAGTAGTGTGGGATGGGATGGGATGGGATGGGAGAGTGTGCCGCTGCCCGTGCTGTGCGCTGCTCTCGACCCCGCTCTCAGCGCACGCATCCGCATCATCGAGCACATGGAGAAGGAGCTTGCTGGGCCACGCTTGGAGCACAGCGCTACTGCTCCTAGATTCGGTGAGTGGGAGATGGGATGGGAGAGCGTGTGACTTGCACAGGTTCGGTGAGTGCAACATGGGATGGGAAGGTGTGCTCTTGACCCCGCTCTTGCTGCACGCAGTCGCATCATCGAGCACATGGAGAAGGAGCTTGCCGGGCCACGCCTGGAGCACAGTGCTACCGCTCCCAGATTTGGTTAGTGGGAGATGGGATGGGATGGGATGGGATGGGAGAGCGTGTGACCTGTACAAATTCTGGGAGTGGGAGTGTAGGAAGGGAGGGCAATCGGTTGCTAAAACTCAATGCGTCCAGCTGTATCTTCTTGCGTGCACATTCACTGCCTCCAGCTGATACGTCAAGCACATGGAGAAGGAGCTTGCATTGCAGGGCCGCCGCTTCCCATCCACCTCTCTCACCGCCACACTCACACCTGTTCCCTTGGCTCCTCCAGGAGGGGATTTTTGAGGTGCCTCAAAAGCACTGCCACACTCACACCTGGTCCCTTGGCTCGTCCAGGAGGGGACAGAGGAGTCCTTCTCTCAATCCTATCTTCACCACCCTTGGCGGCCCCCATTCTCTTTCCCCCTGCCGTTTCTGAGTCATTGCTCTCATTCTTAACTCCCACTCCCATCTGTCTACCGGCCTCTCTGCCATCCCCGCCTTGCTATCCCCCTACCATCCCCCTACCTCCCCCCTGTGGCACGGCAGGCACGGTGGCGATAGACAGGGACAGCATAGGGCGGCTGATAGGCCCCCAGGGCTCCACTATTAAGCAGTTGCAGCGACTCACAGGTGCGAGCTCACACGCGATGCACATACAACTCATGCAAACACGACAAAGATACATCACAGCACTCTGCACTCTGCACACTGCTCACGGCACACTTCGTGCACGCTGCATGAGAGGCACATCAGACGTGGTGCTCGCTCGTTCACGCCTCGCATTCACGCCTTGCCCGTCCATCCATTCTAACCTCGCCCACCTCCCTCACCTCTCCCATCTCTCCCATCTCACTCTGTCACCCGCCTCACCCGCCTCCTCGCCTCCTCGCCTCACCTCTCCCACATTGTGCGTGCGCACACTGTGAACACCATCACACGTGTGAAATGAGCCGTGTGTTTTGAGTCGACTCAAAACTCTGTCACCCGCCTCACCCGCCTCACCCGCCTCACCCGCCCCCCTCGCCTCACCTCTCCCACATTGTGCGCACACTGTGAACTGAACGCCATCACTCGCCTCACCACCAGTGCCGTGCATTCAGGTGTCCAACTATGGCTCTGTGACCATCTTTGCCGTGACAGTGCGTCGTTTGGAAGCCACCAGAGACATGGTGCATGTTGCTCGTTTGTATGACGTCTCCCACCCCTCCCACCACTCCCACCCCTCCCACCACTCCCGCCCCTCCCACCGCTCTCACCACTCCCACCGCTCCCACCCCTCCCTCCACTCCCACCCCTCCCACCACCCACCACCAGGGTCGCGCATTCAGGTGTCCAACGAGGGCTCTGTTTCCATCTTTGCACGCGACAGCGCATCGTTTGAAGCCACCAGAGACATGGTACGCCCTCCATTGCTGATGCGCCTCAAGAAGTGTCCCAGTTCACGCCGTTTTTATGCGGGAAATGTGCATATTGTTCGTGACAGCGCATCGTTTGAAACCACCAGGGACATGGTACGCCCTCCATTGCTCGCCCTCTTTCCCGCGCCCTTCCTCTCTCGCCCTCCCTCTCTTTTCTGCCTCACCCCTTTTCCGATACTCCGCGTTCACCTCTCTCTCCCACCCGGGCCCCCCTTTCCGATTTCTCCCCCTCCCCCACACCACCTGCGCCTCCCTCCCTACTGGTTCAATTCTTTTGACCCATGCACCTGAACGCACCCGGACGCTCCTTATGGTTTGACTCAGAATTCTCCCTGCTGGCTCCATTGTATTAACCCGTCTTTTCGCTCCTGGGGCAGGTGGAGGAGGCGGTGGGGAAGGAGGTGGAGGTGGGCGGAACATACACAGGAGTGGTGTCATCCATCCGGGACTTTGGCGCGTTCGTGGAGCTCGAAGGAGGCAGGGATGGGCTGTTGCACATATCTGAGATTGAGCACTACCGGGTACGATGCCACCACTTTTGAGTCGACTCACAAGTTGCATCGGAAATCACGCACCACCGGGTGAGAATTTGTCTGTTTAGAATAATAACCTCTTCCATTGAACCAACCAGAGAGCAAACAACCAGCCAGCCAGCCAACCAACCAGGCGCTTAATGAATAACGTGTTGTGACGAATAGAGGACAAGCTCAAGGTGGCCGACACAGCTACCGCGTCCACTTTTTTTTTTTTCTTTCTTTCTTTCTTTCTTTCTTTCTTTCTTTTGGGCGCCTCGAATATCTACACCATTACTGTCTCCGTTTCGACAAACCCGTAATAAATGCCTTCTTTCTTTCAGCGCCTCAAGGAATCACCTCCTCCTCCTCCTCCTCCTTCCCTCAAACCTTCCAACCAGGTGTCACGAGTGGAGGACGTGCTGAAAGTGGGTGACACGGTTACCGTCTCCTGCATCTCACGAGACGCCAGGGGCAACGTCAAGCTTTCCCGCAAGGCCCTCATCCCCCTCCGCCCCTCCTCCGACTCCCCCTCCTCCTCTACCTCCTCCTCCTCCTTCCATCAATCCTCTTCCTACTCGTCCTCCTACACATCCGGTTTTACTCCACCCTCCTCTCCTTCCTCCATGCCTCAGTCGCCCCCTTCTGGTACCCATGCGTCTGGAACTTGGTCCGGCGCCCAAGGTTTTACTCCGTTTGCCGCATCAGCAGCAGCGGCGGCGGCGGCGGCGGAAGCGGCAATGGCGGAAGCAGAGAGGGAGGTGGTGCTGGGGACGGTGTGGCAGGTGGGAGGGGAGATGGGCCCAGAAGACTGGGGCCACAAGCCTCGGGGAGAGCAGGATAGCTCCTCTGCTGCTTCTTTTGCTGCTTCTGGCCAAGGAGCACGGGGCGAAGGCGAAGCATCCTCTGCTGCAGGTGCAACAGCAGGGACTGCTGGTTCTGGGTCGAATCCGTTCCAGAGTGACCCGTGGCTGAAGTTTGTAGGCGCGCAGGGGGAGGCAGCAGGAGGAGGGAGAGGAGCAGGAGGGGCGAGGGGAAGAGGCGGTGCGAGGGCAACTGGAAGAGGAACCGGAGCAGCAGCAGCAGAAGAAGAGGGCCCTTATGGTGGGATGGATTTGGGCAGGAGAGGGGCCGGTAGGGGTGTGGGTAGGGGTGTGAGGGGACGCGGAGGGCACAGGGGAGGGATGGGAAGATGAGGAGTGTGGGATTGGATGGCGCGAGTTAGGAGTTGTTGTATTGGATGTGGAAATTACTGAGCGATGGTGGTGGTGTGGTGATACCCTCTTGGTGGTGCTGGCAGGGGGGAGTTGACTTCTGAGTCGACTCAAAAGTCCTCTAGGTGATCGTGCCAGAGGTGAAGTTACGCTTAGTAGAAAAGGAATCGGGGATAGGTGGTGGTGCTGTAGGAGTGGGCTGGAATGGAAGGTTCAAAATGCTGTAGGTATGGGATGGGATCGATTCGAAAAGTATATTGTTTGTTGGTGCAACCCTACGGTTTGCACTCGGCTTGTTGTCCGTGTGCGTGAATGTGTGTGTGTATGGAATGGTATGAGGGCATGGGATAATACATATTTCATGCTTATAATTGTGTGTGAATGTTGAGTCATGATGTCGAGTGTGTGTGTCGAGTCAATAGCGAGTTATCGCTAGACGCGTGTTACGCGGTCGTTTGTGTCTCGCGCGCGGTTTCTACTTTGTCGTGCGCGGTTTCTATTTTGTCCTGTGTCGAACGTTCGGCGTGTCGCAGGTGTGTGCAGCAGACCCATCAAGAACTCAAGGATGAGTTTGTGATGAAGAGCCCGAGCTTTGGTGTCAAGCCTCAAGTGATTTCGAAGCTTGCCAAAAGGGTACACCTCAAGATATTGAAGATAGTTACATTACTTTGTGTAGTGTAACATTTCACTTGGTGTAGGCCCTAGTGAAGGGTAGTTTCGAGACCCTTCGTGGTTGGGGACAGTGTGGCACTATTCCACATCACTGTACCTCGGCTCTTGGGGTTTGTAGGAGCTGGGAGTCATTCCCAACTCGTAACTCTTCCTATCTTGTGTTCTAAGACTATAGTGGCTGCCATAGTACCGTTCGTTCAAACCGACGCTGTGTCGTCAATTCTTTATCAAATCGTGCAATCTAAATTGCTAATTGTAGACGACGTGAAGACGCTCCAGATCCAATTTGAATCAAGTCATTTGCAGCTGTGAGCAGAACGCTATCAACGTTTGAAGCCGCTGTGCAGAAATCCGTCTGTGCTCTCTATCTTTCGTTTTAGGCACATTCAAGCCTATTGTGACTATAACAAGTGGTATCAGAGCCCTTGGAGCAGTTTCGACAATGTCTGGACCTGAGGAAAGGGGTGGCAGAGGTGCTGGTGGCAGTGGAGAAGCTCAAGCTCAAGGCCAACCCCGTGATTCAGCCATGGCGCTCATGCAACCAAGTCTTGGCCCACCTAGGGATGAGCCTAGGGTGTTTGGGCTTGACAAGTTCAACGGTGACAACTTTGCTGAATGGTCCTTCAAGATGGAGAACATTTTTGACCACTATGACCTGCTGGAGGTGATGGAAGGAACGGAGAAGCGCCCCGAGAACGACCCGGAGAAGAGCCCGTGGGTGCGGAAGAGCGCACAAGGCTATCTCTTACTTGGGCAAGCGTTGGGGAGCAGTCAGATCCGTCACATCAAGCCATTCCAGCGTGAACCAGAGAAAGGACCAAAGGCATGGGCTGCTCTCAAGGGTGTACATGCTCCTGCAACAGCGGCGGTAGCGGTGGTGTTGGAACGGCAAATGGCGGCACTACGAATTGAAGAAGACGAAGCGGTTGAAGAAGGGGTGCAGAAATTCTTCGACTTGTTGACGCGGCTTGAGGGAGCTGATTTGAACTACAGTGAGCTCCAAAAGAAGACCAAGTTGCTGGCCTTACTCCCAGAGTCATGGTCCTCGCTCATCATCAACCTTAATCGCGACTTGCCCCGCCTCTCGCTTGAAGACGTGAAGCGAGCTATCCTTCAAGAGGATTTCCGCCGCCGTGAGTTGGCGAGTGCGGATGGCGCTGGGGCAGCGAGCATCGGCCGTGGATATGGTCGAGGAAGAGGCAGAGGACGAGGGGGAGGAAGGTTTGGTGGCAGCAACTTCGGCGGAGGCCGCAGGAGTGGCGGTTACGGCAGCGACGACAAGAGCTACGGACGCGGTCGCGGCCGATTCGACGGCGAGTGTCACTATTGCCACAAGAGCGGACACATGTGGCGCGACTGTTACAAACTCCCTGATGGTTGGACCCCTGTCAAGGCCAAGAGGGTAGAGGAGCAGGAGGAGGGAGAGGACGAGGCCGTGGAGGCCGTGGCGGTCGCGGTGGCGGAGCTGCAAACATGAAGAGCGGAAACAACGACAAGGACCCGAGCGACGATCGATACCCGGGTCTATTCTACTTCGTGTCGACGCAAGTACCGGCTGGTCCAGAGAAGGATGAAGGCTTTGAGGAGCCAGCAGCTGTGGGGAAGGTGACCCTACACCCCCTGGACTATTGGGTGATTGATAGTGGCGCTACCTATAGCATGACACCTCGCCCGGACTTGCTCACCGAACTCGAGCCGTCACCGGTGAAGCATGTCACATCGGCTTTGGGGCAGCGAGCAGAGGTGAAAGGCATGGGCAAGGCCATGTTCAAGGGTGCTGATGGGAAGATGGTGGGCCTCAAGAACGTGCTTTGGGTGCCCAGCCTTGCTGCAAACCTGATTTCCGTGCGGCGGTTGGCAAAGGCCGGCATGGACACGAACTCGAAGGGAGCCAAGACCTACACCGCAAGACTTGGCGATCGAATTCTTTGGGACCTTCATGAGGACTGGGATGTCTACAACGAGATGTGGCAGATCCCAGTGGTCCCTATGCCTAAGGAGAGGCAAGTGGCAGCAAGCATCAGCACCAAGGATGGAGCGGTCGGTAGCGACGATGGCGCGAACGGTCGCGCTAAGGAGAATGAGCTCAAGAAGAGCAAACCTGGAGGGACCAGCAAGTTCAGTGAACCTAAGGAGAGTGGTGCAGCAACCAAGGAGCAGCAAAAGGGTGAGGAGAACCCAGAGGCAGCAGCGGAGGAGGACTACGGAGAGAGTATGTGGGGCGCTATTGCGAGCGCGGCATTCTCCAATCCAACTTCGGCTACGGGGGAGTGTGATTGGCTCACCTTGCATCGGCGCATGGGGCATGTGGCCCTGCCCATCTTGCAGCAGCTAGTGAAGAATGAGATGGTTGCTGGCATACGTGTGAAGGGGGAGCCCGATGAGGTGCTTGGCTGCCCGACGTGCATTCAAGCCAAGTTCACCCGGTTTCCGTTCCCTAGTTCGGAGGCAACGGCAAAGGCACCGCTTGATGAGGTGGTGATGGACGTGGTGGGCCCCCTGAAGCTTGGAGCTGCTGGAGCTGAGTATTTTCTCACCATTGTCGACGTCTACACCCGCATGACTTGGGTGTACGTGCTGGCCAAGAAGAGCGACGTGGCTGAAACGTTGAAGACGGATTGGTTCCCGATGGTGGAGCGGCAACAAGACCGTCTAGTCAAGTCAATCCGCACCGATCGAGGGGGAGAGTTCCTGAGCAAGGAGTTTGGGTTGTGGCTGAAGAAGAATGGTATTCGGCACTCCCTCACCATGCCATACTCCCCTGCAATGAACGGCATCGCCGAGCGAGCGAACCGCACAATCACGGAGGCGGCACGCGGGTTGCTCATTGAAGCCGGGCTACCCGACTATTTCTGGCCTGATGCGGTGCGGAGCGCGTGT